TTACTACCAAAAATTAAAATCCTTATATCTCGATCAAATCTCATGCTGACTCAAGGAAATTTTCAGCAAATGCTCAGGACAGCTCATAAAGCATAATCGAAGACGAAAAAGGTGAATGTGAGCTGGGTATTGGCTTAAGGTTTTTCAGAAATCTTCTGAAAAACCTCAGAACATCAGTGTTCTGTTGGACCACTTTTTCGGCGTGGTCAACAACATATGGCACCTTTTAAGCCTTTCCTAAAAATTTCCTTGAGTCAGCATGAGATTTGATCGAGATATAAGGATTTTATATTTTAGTAGTAACAGGCGAAAAACTGGTTTTTCACAACAATGCCTCTGGCGAAGTTATATTCATTTCTACACAAAAACAAATGTTGCTACTATGCTCAGCGTAGTCGATTACCTATAGTCCATGGCATTTTGAGATTCCCAGAGATGTCTGCTCGGAAATAGACACGTGCTCGGGGAAAGCGAGCCCTGCCCGAACGACGACAGCTGGAGAGCCGGGACTTGCATAATTTTGTAGAGTAACGTCCGGACTATCTACGCATACAAAAAAATTACTAACATTGTATGTTAGTTTTCTGAGAACAGAGCTGGTTTTCCAAAGATCCTCTAGAAACCGGATCTCTGGAATTTTTTCAAAAGTTGCTTCCTCTTGTAGAAAGTTCTGCTCAAGTCTTGGCTATTGAACAGCGAAAATCGCAGGTCTCTATCTCATTCCTATCAAAAGTTATTCAAAAAGTGGCTGACTGTCTTGTATTTTGGAACGCATAGTAAGTAAGAAACATCTGATGGAACATCAACGTTTCTTTATTTTGGATAGACATTCATGCTTACATTTATTTTATTTTTATTTACTGGTAAATTAGGGTTTCTCGTATTAAATTAATAACTGAATTTTATTTAGGTACAATCTGTTTTCTTGGTTATTTCTAGTTTGTCCGTACAATCTATTCTGGTATGAGATTGATTATGTGAAGTAAATATCTATCAATAATATACCTAATTATTTCAAATGAAGTTTGATTGATAATGGATCAATTAAAAATCTCTACACTTTTCATATCCTTTTTACTCTGAAATCTCGAGGATACAATCATGTATTCTCACTAATTATTATGTATCATATTTGATAGCACCGATTTATAGTATCTATAACGAAGAAAATCTCGCTTTTTGAATACTCTTCAGTTCTTTTGTACCAATTTTGCAATGTCTATCTCGTGTGATCATCTTATTTCTGATTGTGAGTATCTCAGTGATCTATCGTTTTCGCTGTTATATACGTCAGCATGAGTTACTCAAAAGAGCACACATTGGAGCACCAAGGACTATGTCAGATATTGAAACACATCATTTTAATTAAGAAATATATATTACGTCAGTTTTTAACATTTTGTAATAGTGCTAACGTTACACGAACCAATGGTTGTAAATCATGTAATTATGTGCTATTTCGCTCGACCTTGTGAAATTTTTCGTTCTATTCTGCCGTCACATGCCCACGAGATAAGATGAAAACAGACTCTTTTCGTTCTGTGTTGGCAACAAATAACAGAGACTGCATCGCGAGTATGGCGTGATGTGAGCAAATAGCAACGCCCGCAATGCTTCTTTCAACACCTGAGTAAGAGTAGCCATCTTCTTCGTGCTTGAGAATTTCTCCGAAAAAGAGTATGTCGTTCGGCTGATTAAATAAGGCCAATCCTTCTTTGCATCAAATGTTTTATGAAGCTTGTGCTAAATTGGAAGGAAGTAGATAGAAAAAACAACATGGTTTTGTCTCCAAGAAAGTTTTCATTTTAAGAAATAGAACAAACACTCATATACAGACCCAAATATTCTAACCATTAGTCTCACTTGTACAGATGTGCATGAAATAATAGCATGAGACTGACGTTCGGTCAGCCACTGATATAGAAAAACGGCTAATATAAGGGAGATTGAGTGGGTTTACTTGGGCTATCTAAGATAGCTCAAAGTTTAAACTGTTGGTTCCAGAAAGAACTCAGACAAACATCAGCCACAAACAGTCAAGAACGCCATGGTGTTGAATGTCGGGTCCAAACTTTTAGTGACCGAGATCCGATTGATTAAACTTTTTGGAATCCAACCGTATATTCATAATGAGATTTATTAATCAGGATTTAGCGATCAAATTTTAGATGTCAAAGTATGCACTATTTTATTCATTCTGTATTGTTTCCTTTTCTGCTGTTATTTTCGCTCTTCTTCTTTTCTTAAAAGTATTCTCTCGTTCTACCGCATATGACATGTGTGTGTCGGGCTTTTTCTTTCCTCCTGCTCTCCTTTATTTCAACTTGTGATACTGATTTTTTCAATACTGTATAAGATTCACATACTTATCGTTTAATTAAATGGCCGGACGCGTTGGAAATGATGATGAAGAACAACGTGTGATAAACCGTATTCGAGCAAATGTCTATCGAGAAGCAATGGAAAAAGGTGCAGCGTTTATCAATCGAAAATGGATCGCTCAAAAACTGCATCATACTGAAAGATGGGTTACGGACAACTGGAAAAAGGATACGAACACTGCTTTACGAGATTTGGCAATGAAAGATCGACAAAATTATCTGAAGAAAGCAAAAATATTGTGATGCAAAACAGTGGGAAAAGACAAAGAAGCTGCAGACGAGTTGCAAAAGAGATCTTCGAGAAGCGTGGAGATGCTGTTAGCCCGTCATCTATTCAACAATACCGTATCAAACAAGATCTAAAAGCTTTTCATATGATTCCAAAGCCAGTGAAGTCGGCAACAGGCGTAGAAAACCGTGTATGGTTTTGCAATTATTTGTGTCATTGGATGAACATGATTTCACGCACCTTGCGGCAGTTGATGAGGGTGAGGGTGGGGGTGAGGGTGTCGTTATCAAGATGTTTGTTCAAAACGAAATTGCATTGGAGTTTTCATCTGTTTTACTGCTGTCAAATTAATGTGGGTTATCAAAGATAATGGTGCATCATGGGATGGAACTTATTATCGAGATCGTATTTTGACAGAAAAGGTAATTCCATTTCTTCCAAACTCCGAAAATGTATTAGATCCAACAGAAGTCGTTTATCTTCATAACAACGCTTCGTGTTACAAAGCAAATGCCACTCAGCAATTACTCAAAAACTCTGGAATCGATTTCTTTAACCGAACAAAATGGCCGGGAAGCTCTCCGGATCTTAATGTAGCGGAAAACGTTAGATCAATTCTAACGGACAAAGTAGAAAGTCTGATGATCAGCGAACGCCGTTCTAATCGGCATTCTTCAGTCGTTTTGCTTAAACATCTTCAAAATGTTCATCATGACTTGAAAATGAAAGAGAACTTTTCGAAAGTTTATTGAAATCGTATCCGCAGCGTTTAAAAGCTGTATGTGAAGCCAACAGCGGTCACACTAAATATTGATGTATTATTTCTATTTAAATCCAATAAAGGTTTCACTTGGTATATCACTTGCAACTGTACCACATTTACTTAATACTTTATTTCCTTCGCAAGAAGGTAACCACAATCCTATGTATCTAAAATTTGAATTGACTATCTGTATCTATTGAATTGCTAACTATAGCCCTACATCAAGTTTTTACGGGCTTTCATTTGATATAAAATTTATTAGGTATCCACCTTGAAATCAAATCGCTAACCCTCTGGAAAAAGGTTATGCAACATCCTGTATATTTGCATATCGGATTTTCCACGCAGACCTAAAGCGATAAACGGAAAGTGTTCTCATTCATTTATTACAATTAGATCAACTGAAGTTTTGAGAAGAGTCAAAAATAGACTATCGGATACAATCTTCGACAACTAAAACGTCGACATTTTACGATGTTGTAATGGTGAAAAACGTTTTTATAGAAGATCCTTCAGTGACGTCCAACCGGTGTCCTCTTTTTATGTTGTTCATGAGAACGAACAAATGATAGAACCGTCTTCATTTCATCACCTTTTCTCCGTGACAAACGAGAAAGAAACGCATCTGTTGTGCTACTCTTATCGTTGATGAATTTACATAGTTGAGTTTACTGTTTTGCGAAGTTCGACTATGATACTGTTCTAAAGGAGCAAACTTTTTCACGAAATTATATATCACAAGGTATCATGTCATACAAAATTCAGCTGGAAATTTTTATAAACTCTAAAGTGCTAAGTATTAGAAACACGCCACGTAGTAATAAGAACAGTTTGTTCCCTTCTCTACGCTGAAGAAGAAGTATTGTGCTTCAGTTTCATCGTCCACTTTATTCTTTTCTACGGAGACCGTATCCCAGTAAATCGACTTTCAATGAGATAGTGGTCAGCGATTCTAACTCGACACGGCAGTACTATCGAGTTTCATTAACACGAGTAATTGTTGCACATATATTTTCTTTTGTTAAACGTAATACCTCCGTTTCTATATCCATCGTAATATTTGAGTAGATTATTTGTACTGTAAGTGGTATAGTGGTTAAACATTCAACACATATTTGTAATAGTAACATTGTTGTCACTTGTTTTTCAATACGTTGACGAATATCAACACCCCGTTTACTAATGACAGATATACGACGAGGAACAGTTCGTTGGCGACCATTTTTAAATATTTTAAAACCGAAATAAATTGGTAAAATAATTGGTAGAAATGCAAATAGGATTAAATTTACGAAATAA